GCCTGTGCGGCGGGCGCATCCCATCCCGATGAGGAACCGGGCACGGTCCGGTACGGAGGGGCTGCGGCTAAAGGTCCCGCAGCTTTCGGGAGAAGCCCCCGGACGCAGGTGCGTGTGGCGCGGTGCCGGAGAGCCCGGGGGGGCCGTTCGCCTTCGGGAGAGGCTGCGGGATGCCGATCCCGCCGCGCCTGGGGATCTGGTCAGTGCCGCATTCCCCCCCCCGGCTCAGGCACAGTCCCCATCCGCACTCGGCTGCCGCTCCCTCCCGGCAGGGGCAGGCGTGGAGCTGCAGGACCAGACGACTTCCAGGTGCTCAGTTTTTTTGGGGGTGCCTTGCTTACACCAATTAGCCAGACGTCATATAAACGCATGGAAAGAGGTTTCTAAAGTAGACTGACGTCCTAGCCGTGGTTGCAGCCTTGGAAACGGGTCATTCATTTGCCCTCGCGAAGGGTTCTGCATCCACTTATTAAAACAGTAGTATATGGTGAGACTTGTGGAACCTGTGTACTGCTGTAGTGTTGGGTTCCCAAATAATGCTCTTCACATTGCTTCTGGGAGGTGCTGAAGATTGTGTAGCTGCCAGGTGTAGTATTTTGAGAAGGCAGCTAAACAAAGCCCTTTAGCGTGGCCTTAATTGGATCGTCTGTTATTGTGTAGAAAATCCCTAATATTTACTACTCAAGTCACAAAAGCAAATTTTTTTTCAGAATTACAAGATTACTTTAAGGTTGCCTGTTGTGGACTTGCTTTATATTTAGATCTCCACCCATCATGTACCAGCATGGGTAGAGAAAAGCATCACAAATCTTATATTTTCATGCTGCATGACAGCTTATTATTATTTAGGTAAACTTCTCTCGTTTTCTTTCACAATTTTACTCTACAAATGCTGAAACAAGTCATTTGTGTTGTAAAGCAACTGCCTTCGTTTTCATTTGATTCTGTTAGTGTACAGTGAGTACTGTCAGGAGCAGGTCTGCCAGCATCAGTGGCCATGTAACAAAGGGAGTTGCCTTCAATTCATATTCTTTCATGTCAGGTTGATTGCAGAGATCGTCATTTGAGAGGCAAGTGGATTGAAGCGGCAGCCTGTAGAATGTCAGCGTTGAGTAAGAACTGTTTCCCAAGGCAGAATAATTTCTCCAAGTATTGTACAGGGATTCATGTCTAAAACGTGACAGGCTACAGATGTGGCACAGCATTGTGATTCTGCGTTTCGATCTTTGTGCATGAGTACTGTGCAGTTCCAGGAGCTGGGTGCATGTTAGGAGGGATTTAGAGTCAGCAGCTGAGTCTCATGAGCAACATCTGCAACAGATGTTAAGATCGGATAATAATATCTATCAGTAACTGAAAAACTGTTTGGACTAATGAAAAGCACCAGTGAGTTGACTGCTAATTGCTACCCCTACATTAGTTTCTGTGCCTTGTCTGCAGAAGCCCGTTCCTTTTACATAAAGCACAGCTGCAAAATTTTGTAGCTACATGGTGTGTGAAGCACTTCCCTTGATTCGCCCTTCCTGGTGAAACATCCTGTTACCAGGCACGTGAACTACTGGTCTTAATCAAGCCAAACAGGTTCAGCATCTGGCAGAACCGTGTCATTGCTGAATTCAGTCTAGTAATTGAAGGACTGAAAATGTCAGACTGCAGTACAAAAATCTTGATCCTAAGAACTTGCAGGATGTCATGCAGGTGGAAAGCACACGCACCAGCCTTTAGTAGAACAGTAGGTCGGCCACTGGGCCCAGGAACTATTCTGCACAGGTGGAACTGAATTTCATTGCTTCTTTCAATGACAGAACACTGTTCCAGATGACATTCTTCTAGCAGTGTCTGGTGGCCATGGAAATCCTTTCTGTTATCCAACACCAAACACATCATTGGGTATCAAGTGGAGTTTTCTATTACTCTACCAAAGGAAAGAACCACCACCTCCCACTCTCTCAGTCCAGTGGATGCTTTGTGTCTTCTGCTTCTGTGTTCTAAATCACATTTTCTTTCTCCAGACTCTACCTATTTTAAAATCATCTCTAGGTAGTCTTTTTTTCCTCCAGTTTTTTTTTTTACTTCTTTTTCCTCCACTTTCAGAGAATTAATATAGTATGTGAGTTCTTTAGTTTTTCCCTCATTGAAGAGGAGCAAACAAGACCAGTAAAAAGACAGAATCAGTTCTGTTGCTGCTGTATTACCAGTTTCAGGAATGTGCTGAGTGTTGCTGTAGTTGACTCATTTTTCGCTAATGTGCCACCCAGTACTCTTACAATCCAGGATATTAACTGGTAGATTGAAACTGCAGAATTTCAAGTGTGTAATTATTTGACAGGTTAGTGCCACTGCCCAGAATTAATATTAGTAACACTGTGCTATTGAGGATAATGAAAATTATGTCCTGTTAATACGTCTTGCCTCAATTTTTCTACTACTAGTAGAATACACCTTTTTACTGTTAGTAAAAACGAACACAAGGTATTATGTACAGCTATTCAAGAACAGAAAAGGGAACTTAGATATATAATTTCTTGCCCTGTTCTGGAACTCCTTCAGAATTATAACTTTGTTAATTCTCATCACATTCCCACATAAGTTACCACTGTGAAAATAATTCTGTATATAGTAAACAACTATATGTAACAAGGATTGCAGAATATGTATTTCTAGGTGAGATGTTTGAAATGTTCAAATTTAAAGAAATAATGCAAGATGTGAATTTTTTCTTTAATGAATTATCTCAATACAATGATTGCCCAAACTTTTTTGATGTAGAAACCAGAATCATAAAGCCTCATATAATTGATGAAGTAGGTAGGATGAGAGAAGAGTAATGGTTATTTTCTTCAATTATTTCACAGTCCTACAGCTGCCCTACAATACTCAATTTAAACAGTGATGTATCAGATTTTTGCCACACACTAAGGATAATGTAAATTACCCTTTTCTAGTCAAGTGATTAGCAGACTCTTACATGTTGCATCAAAATGACTCACAACTTGTCTATGGAATATCAGTAACAGTCTCTAACAAATGGGAAACTGTTGAGGTCCACGTTCTGCTGATGACAGACATCAAAATTTTCATGTACAGGTATAGTGTATAGGGAAGAACAGTGGGACAAGGCCACAAGTTCTGTCTGGCTCTACAAATGAGAAGACCATGCCATTCTAGACCTTTGGTTTTGTATACATGGAAGTTTGAAACTTGGCAGGTCTAAAACTATGTTTCCCTTCAACACGATTAGGCAATCCCCTTCATTTCAGATTTAGGTACAAAACTGAGTATCTGCAGTACATGATAGCTCCACAATGCATGCAAAATCCTCCTTTTTATCCAACATGTACTTCAAAAATACTTTCCTGCTTTCACATCAGGTTAAAATATGGTGAGGCTGTATGAAATAGAAAACAACTTTGTTGTTATAGTTGAGCAAGCAGCTTAGACTGGGATACTGAATCTGTCTTTGCATCCAGATATAATAATCCCTCTGTCTCATGTCTCAAAGTGCTGCATAGTGCCAGATGCCTGGCCTGCTGCAATGCCTGGGGCTATTACAAACACAGAGTGACCTTTCAGAAGAGCATTCAGGAACTTCAAATGACAGATAATATTTCATGCCGTGTACTGTTTTCTCCAATGCACTGTCTTCTATACAAAATTTTTTTGCATGCTTATTCAGAAATTGCTTCACTCATTACTTGTATGTATTTGTTAAATTTACTTTTCCATTTGTATGCAGTTGGATTATTTTGTTTTATAAATTCAGTAATAATATGGAAGAGCTAGCAAGGTTATAATACAAATGATTTACAGGTATATTTTGCTCTCAAAATTACCAGCTGTAACACTACTTTTTAATATATCAAGGCACTTCACAGAGCCTATTGAAATAAAGGTGGTGCATGAACAGACTACATGAGATACTCATTATGCAGGGAATCTGTAAAACCAAAATTTAACTCCCAAGAGGGAGCACAGTTTCGGGAACTGCTGTTAATCAGACTATCAAAACCAAATATAACATCATAAATAATACAGTTTTTCTATCACATTAAGAATGTAAGTTCCATTGCAGATTTTAGAAGAGGCAGACACAATATGTTCTCAGGTGACCGATGTGTCCACATTTCCTAATTTATAGGGAAATGTATGCCTGGTGTATACACATTTGCTGAATTTTATAAGCATAGGTATTAAGCATCAATATGCAGTCTATTGTGAAACAAAATATCTTTTTTATATCAAGAGAAGTGCCTCGATTTCCCACAGATTGTTAAAAAGAGCTGGCACACAGCAGCATGGTCAAAGAAGGAACTGCAGATCAAATACCCATTGTCAGATATTACTACCCTTAGCCATGTGTTAAACTGTTGTGGTATATTTTGTCTTCCCTCAACTGCATACCTTGTCTCTACTGAATAAACCTGTAGGGGAAGTTGCTTCTTGTTGCTGTTCATTCTTTCAGTAGAGTACTCCTGCTATTTGGAGAGGTTTTTTGGTAACATGATAAAAAGAATTTTCACATCTTTTCTGGTGACTGTATGGTGCTTAAGATCAAGAAGAATCACTTTTTACTGAACCTACCAGATTATTTTTTTTTAAACACAGTACTACTCAGATAACCTTTCCTGGTTGTATGTGTTTGTTTATAAAGTGGAAATAAAAATAATAAAAATAATATGGTGAAGTTTTGTCAGATAATCTCCTTTCAGTTTGGTTCCTTGTGCATTTGCCAGAATTGCAATTTAGTGAGTTTTGTTGTTTCTTCCAAGAACCTTATAAAAAGTTGAAAGAATTTTCATGAACAGATCAAAAAATGCAACTTTGACCTCTCAGTGATCATAAGTGGACTAGTTCAGTGAGTCACTTTACAGTCTACAGAACCACTTTTCTTATAATCTGGAATTATGATTAAGCTTTGCAGTAGTTAAAACCTTGGTAAATTCGATATTCTAATTGCTGTTACTTTTTCTTTTTTTAAAGAAAACAAACAGTGCACATAATTTACTTAGATTACAGATACTTTATTATTTTCAGAGAGTTCATCTTATATTACAAAAATGCTCAGAGGTCAGCTCGAACTCCAAAGCCTGGTCCTTTGGGTGGTTCAGTCAGAGAAGTAAGGCCACCAGCTGGCTCACAAGAAAAACGTCCACTCCTGAAAAATGAAAGTAGTTTTACTCATTGCTGGTATTGTTACAATGTCAGCTTCTGTTGGTCACTGGGTAGAAGACAGTTACAGATCTGATTTAAGGCTGAAGCCACTAATTTTTTTTGTTCTTTTCATTCATCCTTCAAAAGAAGTGTGATGCTACCCTTAAAAGGGTTTCAAATTCAAATAGTTCCATAACTGAAATGCAAGATAGGACCACTAGTTTTATATTTATTTATAGGTTGGCCTGGCAGCATCCAATTTTACCAGTCCTATTTTTGTTACAGATGCTTCCCTGTGTTTTTTGAAACTAACTGTTTTAGGATTATTGTTCTTGTATAAAAAAAAGAAAAATCTTTCTAGAAACAATAGGAATAGGTAACACCTAAGACAAATTAATTTGTCCATTGACACAAACATGTAGTTGGGCTAAAAAAGAACAGTGGAAAAAAAAAATAAGTTCAGCAATAATAACCCTTTTGCAAACCTCCAATCTTTTGTGTTTTCTCAGAAACTGAAAAAAAAACAATACAATGAACCAACCAACACACATTTGTTGGTTTAAATAATCTAGACAACATATCCAACAGGTGACAGTCACCTAAGAAGTACTAAGACAAAACAGAATTGATATTTTCACATTTCATGCTCTTCTGGTCAGTCATCAAGAACATGTAAATTCTCAGTTCTTCCCAGTTAATTTTGGCTTTGAATGCATACAGTTCTGTTCAGTAAATTAATGCTTTTTAGCTGTAGGTGGTGAACTCAAATCACTGGAACAGTAACTCAGTATCTCGGAAGGATCAGCATTCAAGAAGGTAGTATTATACAAATATAGCATACCTTGGGCCTGGCTTGGGAACTTTGCCAGCCTTTAGCTCATCAATTATGTCTTCAATATCTTTGGGTGTCAAATCTTCCTGTAAAAAAAAAAAAGAAAAAAGGCCCTAAATCTTTAAAAAACTGAAAGATCAGCAATTGTGCTAATTGCAGAACTCAAAATTCCTCAGATTAGTGATTCTCTTAGGTATGACCTAAGAGAATAGGTAATTTTGATACTATTCATTAACACACATACTTGTTTAAAGAATTAGGAAAATTAAAAAGCCTACTGTCATTTTAATGTTAAAACTTTTGGTTTCTATACAGTTGCAGAAATTATGTTAAAACTAACAATGGTGATGCTGGCCATGTACAACAAGGATTTGCGTTTTCAGCTTCCTTCTTGTATTAGTGAGCTGGATCTCTGCCTACCCACTGTACACATGGCACTGCACATAAGTGCAGAATGCTGCCAGCTGTGACCAAAAAATTGTGAGTACAGTTCAAGAGAACACTTCTTAAACTAATCCATGCTTTCCAACAGACTGCTTTCAAGTGCTTCTAGAAGCTTATCCAATACCTACCTATTTAAAAATTCCAGATTTACAGGCAGACCACTATCACAAAAATGTGTCATTCCTCTTATACAATGCAAAATACAATGATACACTCCATACAGATGAAATGTTCTAGGAAGAGGCCAAGAAACTAAAAGATGCTCTACATTATAAGCTGTCCCTGCCAATAGGACTTTGAAAACTGACTAAAACTTCAGAATCTGGAAAAACTGAAAATACAGGTAACCAGAAAGGAAATTTAATCTTTTAAAAAGGAATTTAGTACTTACATAGTAATTGTCGTTTATTTGTACCATTGGTGCATTTACACACGCACCTAAACACTCCACTTCTATCAGCGTGAAGAGTTTATCAGGTGTCGTTTCCCCAACTTTTATACCTAAACCAATAAACAATATTAGGCTCAACGGTGGTTATTGTACAAGAGGAATAAAGCATGAATCTAAGTACTCCACAGACATTGCATTACTTGTATTTTGGCCTTACAAGCATTTGCACAGTTAAACCCTCTTAAATGAGTCGAAATGTTTCCCTTGAACAGAAGATGCTAATAAAATATGAAGTGAGTTTTCAGATACATTTTTGAAACCTCATTTACAGGTGTAATTCATTGAGAAATAACCATGAAATGACAATTCTAAGAAACAGATCTTCTCAGGAACATTTTTAGTAATACAAAGTAGGGAAACAGAGCTTTCATGTGCTGGTAGGAAATGTTAATATACAGTGTTGAGTATTAAATTCCCAAATTAACACAATCCAAGCATTAACATCGCTAGCTGCAAGTTCATAAACAACTTCTAAGTTTATACACAAAGGATTATTTACTGAACAACACTGTACACATACCTAGCTTCCATGACATTATTCCACTGCTACAGATGCAGACTTTCCCCAAAGGCAAGTTAGTCAAAGTAAGAGAGTCTGATCTCTACAAAATACTCATGGAACCCTGAATGCTGAAAAGCAGTTTTCCTCCAGTTCTTAGAAGGAAGGGGGGAATAAATAATAAAAGTCTAGGTAAGGCCTCTGTCTCTGTAAAAGCTACAGAATCATCCTTACTGCTTTAAGAGTTTCAGTTGAAATTAAGCTATCTTTGCAGTAACAAATTAAGACAAATTTCATCTAAATATGCCTTTTTCAGACAATGCAGTATATGAAATGCAAGACAATCAGCAGCTGTTCTGCAGCTCTTACCACTGGTTCTTGGGAAACGTAAGCACAGCTTTTGACTTCATAGAAAAGAAGAGTTGTTAAGTTTCTGATCTTACCCTCTCTTTCTCCCCATAACCATGCAAAAAGGAGGAAAAAACCCAACCCACACACAAAACCAAGGAGTACTCCTTACATCCCACATGATGCAGCATTCACAACTGACTTTTTCCATGGATAATTCCTAAGTTTTATGTTAACATCACATTTGTCATCCAGAGGGAGCCTGACAGGCTAGAGAGGTGGGCCCATGTGAACATTATTAAGTCAAACACGGCCAGTTTTTCTTTCCCATGTGAAGAGTTTTACTTCAGTATCATTAACCAAAGGTAAAAAAATACAAGTGTATTACAAATTTGTGTCATACCGAGTTTCTTCTTAATGGCTTCTAAAATACTGTCAGAGTCCCGCAGCATGCACGGTGTGGTAGTGCAGACCTGAATATGGTATTTCCCAACAGGTTTGCGATTGTACATGGTATAGAAGGTTGCTACTTCGTACACTCTCATGGGAGGCATTTCCAAAACTTCAGCAACCTGTAACACAGGGAAAACAGACGCAATATTGAACTCTGACAGGGCAGCAGTAAAGGCATTTATAAAACCATTTCAATACAGTCACCTGTCCTCTGTTTGCAGTAATGGATAAATAAGAGTGAGGGGGTGGGTATCAAAGCACAAATGTATTCCAAGTGCCAAGACCAGACACCTGAGTTACTTGACTTGTATCACCGTGCTTGAGCACAAACTCCACTAAGCCACAGATTAGAAAAGCAAGGAGCTGGAGTCAACTCCCCTCCAGCACCTAGTGTCACACAGGCAGATGCGAGGAGTCAGCTGGGTTTCAGCTTTCAGTGCCAGCTCCAGCTCACACTGCACTTCTGCTGTGTGAATGAACAAACTTGTACCAGTCTGCCCACATTAACCTTTTGATAAGGGAATACTTATAGGCTGGTACCACGCTCACCTAATCTTACAGAGCACGTCTCCCTCAGGTTCTGGGACACACCATGGCTATGTCTGCAGACTGGTGTCACAGCTAATAAATAGGGAGTGAAGCACGATCTCCACACAGCGAGTTCTGCAAGTATCCCTGACCTCATTAACCTGGAACTCTGGCAAACTGCTCAAGTTGAGAACTGGCTCTAGTTTCAATAGTGTAACTGTTTTATGTTCCAGTTTCTATAGCATGCAAACAACAAATCATGGAAAAAATCTGTTCACTTAAAAGGCTTAAGATCCTTCTAAACATAAAATCAATCTGGAACTTAAATAAAAATACTTTGACAGCATTAATGGAGATTTGAGGCTTTTATGTTACTGTAGAAACATGAGTTTCTCTTCTTTAAATGCGCATTTAACTCCTTCAGTAATTTCAACAATCCTCACTTAGCGTATCTTGACTGACTTGAAATGTTTTCACTTTAAAACTGATGATATGCCAGATTGTAACATAAATACAATGGATTTATTTGTATGAATATAAAAGATTTTTTTTTCTTGGTATTTTGTTCCTGTCACGCAACCTCTCACTTTGGAGCAGCGTAGTTGCTTCCCTGCTTATTTTGAAACAATTTTAATAAATAATGTGATAAGTCTTCCAGGCACTTGCTATGAGGCATTTACACAATACTCCTTACATCTAGTACACTAATGCTGCTCTGTAGAGACCCAGAGATTTAGGTCTCTTTACAGACCTAGAGATTAAGTACAATCCAGGCAATGTGTGCAGTGCCACTAATCCGGGAGGAGAAAAACCCCACCACCATTATCTTTGTTTTCTTTCCCCAAATTCAAAGAACAAAATCTTTGAAGCTTCTCTTCCTACTACCAGGAAGATTCTGGGAAAAGAGCCTACCTCACTAGGGCTCACGTAATTTTTTTGTCTGTAGTTTCTCGCAATGGGCTAATATTATGTAAACAACAGAGACCAGAGTTTTCTGCATTAGTTTTCCCTTTTATTTTTAAAAATGCAGTCTTGTAGGGAATTCTCACAGTTCTGTGCCACATGTCAATTCCCACGTTAGTATGCTTCGGTAAATAACAGTTAATATTCTAGTAAGATATTTAAAGAAAACAGTAAGATGATGCTTCAAACATAATTAACTACTAAATACCTTGTTCATAGCTGATATGGGCAACCATCCATGCTGTCTTTGGGCCAAATCCAGTACTGCCATGACAGCTGCAGACTTGTGTCCCTCTGGGTAGTTTTTTATGATCGCTTCTATTCGCTTTTTAAAGGGAAAGAAGGAAAACAAATCAGTATTGATCAAAAGACAAAGTCTGTATATTTAACCTTTTTTTGTCTGCATACCTTTTGGTTTTCAGGTGTGAACTCAAATGGAGTATCTGGATTATTTTCAGGACTATCTCTGTGCTTCAGGGGGAAAAAAAAAAGAAAGAAAAGCATATAAAAATAGGTTCTCAGGAAATTATTCAGGACATATTTACTGTTGTAAAACATCTCATTAGACAGTTAGAGTTGAGTTGCTTAAGTAAAAAATGATATATTCCAGATAAAAATTTCATACTACTCAAATGATTAAATGTATTCTGAAAAGTTATAAAAATATTGCTAAAGTCATTACTCAAAAATCATTACTTATTCATGTTATTTCCTATTAAAAATTATTGAGAAATATGGTGTTGTTATTAAAATACACTTTAACACTGATAATACAATTTGGCAATTATGTTCAAACTTAAGAGTCCTCTGGTTAATACCTTAACAAACAAGAAACTAAAAAAAAAAAAAAAAAAAACAGCCCATTTCTCCTTTTACCATAAAACATTAATTTTACAAACTTCAAAATTTACCAAGAAGTTTGCTATATAACTAAAACATCTGCACATTTGAACACACATTATTAATCCATTTAAACATTCTTTTGGTTTGTAATGATTTTGAAACTTTAATTTTATATATCATTCTGAATCAGAATAAAAAAAGCAGAATTTTGAATTAGTATTTCCAAAATAAGGTATTCTATCGTATTATTTTAAGGCAGTCTTCTAGGGAAACATTAAATTGAAATTAGTTCTTCTATTTTCAGAAAATACAAATTTGCAAGTCTTGAAGAAAGTGACATTTTCCTGTAATAAAACCTTAGTTCTGATGAAAATCCTTATTCACCAGAAAACCTTTCTGCACAAAATTTTCATATGTCTCTAAGCAGCTTGTAATGGTTTCCTTTAAATGCCTGTAGTTAAATTTAATTCTGAACTTTACACAGTTTTGAAACTGAGAAAGTTTCACATTAAGTGGGAAGTTGGGGGGAAAATGCAAGCTATATTTGAGGCTTCATGTTAAAAGTTATCCACAACCAGCTAATAATAAAACCTCTGAAAGTATATTTAGAAGAAAGAAGCCCCCTCTGCTGACTTTCACTTTGATCACGTCCTCCAGTAACTGAAGATGATTTTGCAGTTGCCACACTGTACTCTTCTTATTGAGCAGCAAAGGACTGAATGAAAAATCTTAACATTACATGATACTCACATATTGAAAGACCATCATCAGTGGAGATCTTAGAACATGTATGTCCATTGCTATTCTTGGATTTACAAAATTTAATATGGAAATATTGAAAGGGCAAATACTTCAATTATATCTGCTGGTCTAGCCAGAGATTACTCTTGTTTATCCTGTCTATATCCCAGAGTAGACAGTTCTACTGCCACCATCAATTTGAAAGCATGTAGGCTCACCACAGTTTCAAGTCAAATACAGAAACTACAGCTGATAAATACTGCTCCACCAAGGATGACTTTCCCCTAATAAAATATAAAAGGAATTACAGAAAGATAGCTGATACCTAATAAAATATTAGTGTATTCAAAGGGTATGTATTTATTGCTTACTGTGTAGTTTACAAGATAAAACAGCTTTTAGGAACACAATTGCTACTATTTCAGATTGATGCTTCCAGATAAACAATTTGACAACTTGTATGTAGTGTTGGTGAGGGTCTTCTACTAATTTTAATCAAAGTTCTCAAAAAAAGGCTGATGGAGGAAAAAAATGATTGGAATTACTGTGCAACTTTTATTTTTTTCATTAATAGACCTTTATATGTCTTAGCTGCACTGGTCAAATCCATGATTCATGATAAGTATTTCCATAACTTAGCCTTTTCTTCTCAAATCTGCATGCCTATTTTATTTCAGACTGATATTATTTTGCCTTCCATAGCTATTTGATAGTTACAATTGTACTTCATCTCAATTTCTTTTGCAAATAAGTATATTTGATTTATTAAAATCTCTCTCTTTGTCTAGAGCAGCTGTTCTTTTCAGTGTATCATCTCTAAACTGGTATCCTTAAATGCCCTACATGTGTAGAAGAATAATAAAGACTTTATATTGGAAGCTACAGATACAGCTGTAGCGAGGTTCCACGATGTATTGTAAAGGCTACAGCAGGGGTAAGCACTAAATAAGATCATGCCACCTTTTATGTTTTCAATTTTCCTGAAAGGGCTTGATGTAATTCTGTGCCATGGAGAGTTCAATAGTTTTGATCAAGAGCTTACACAGTTCTGGGCCTCCTGAGCATTTAGAAATGTATTATATCTTTCCTAGTCTTACACTTGTCTGACAATGCACCATTTATCTGAGACTTGCATGCACTTATTTGCTCCTAAAAGACAGAGGTGCATCTCCACCTCAGAAATGAGGACACAGTATGGGAAAGAATACTATGTTAAATCACAGAGTGGTTGAAGTTGGAAGGGACCTGTGGAAGTCATCTAGGCCAAATTCCCCTGCTCAAGCAGGAACACGCAGAGCTGCTTGCCCAGGACTGTCCAGGTGGCTTCTTCTGAATATATCCAAGAATAGAGAGACTCCACAACCTCTCTGGGCAACCCATGCTGGTATTTCATCACCCTCACACTGAAAAGCGTTTCCTGATGTTCTCTGAGGCCACTGCCTCTGGTCCTGTCACTGGACACCACTGAAAAGAGCCCGGCTCCATCCTCTTTGCACCCTCCTTTCAGGTATATATAGACATTGATAAGATCCCCCACCCCCCCAAGTCTTCTCTTCTCAAAGAGTCCCAGGTCTCTCATTCTTTCCTCATATAAGAGATGGTTATGAAAAGAAACCCATATGCTAAGGCTTCCTCCACACACAGAGTACCATTATGTCTTTACCAACTACAGTAATTTGTTGAAAAGAAAGGTCAAGCACTATCCATGCATTTTTTTGAGTCTTGTCTCATACTCCCCAATTTCCCAAAGTCTTACACAGTGTTTTCATTCTGTTCATATCTTGACTGTATCACATCTGTAGTGCAGCATTCAGCCTAACCTACTTAAGTGTGAACACCTGCACTGCAAAGGCCAACCCAATCCATGGATGCCAATATGTTCCCATGGAAGGCACAAAGGCTGCTGAATGGTCATCTCATGTTCTTTTTCCTACACCAACCTGGGCCATTTTTTTTTTTCAGTGATCTAATCATCTGTCTTTCTTAAAAGAAAATTATTAAAGAGCACTGAAAAATTAAAATAGAATAATTAGAATACAGCAAAAAAATTGGCCTGAAACTTGATCCGTGCCCTGTGGTAAAACACCAGTCCAAAGCATGGGAAACCAAAATGAGACAATTGTGTGTTCTGCAGGGGAGAAAATGTTTAGGGCAGCAACCTGTTAAGAACCCATATCAAATGAGCACTGAAAAGAAATGTATTACTTCTTCTCTAAAGGGAAAGTACCCTACATTCAGTATTCCAGCAGAACAAGATATAAACCTAAGTGCTCTCAAACCCAAGTATTTCACTGACCATTGTCACAAGTAACTAAAACAAGGATAGAGCAGTTCTTCAACCTCCTGTGCTGAAGCCCCTATGACAAAGGCCACATCAGGGCAATTGATGTGTTATGGAAATTCAGTCCGTGTGTTGAAAACCACAAAACAGAACAGCTAAGTTTTAGCTGCTAAGGAGGCTAAAGACAGGTAAAAGTCAAAAAGAGTGCATGTTTCAACAAAGAAATTATAGTAAATTATGATAAATTATCTTTCAACAGAGAAAGGTAATTCTAATAAATGTCTCTCTGGAATTGGGCCTTCCCTAGTCAGAAATGACAGATTTGGAGCATCACTTTTACATTACAACTGGCAAACAATCTACCTAGTTTTAAACTTGATATACTCTCACTGGAAGTACAATCTAGCTGCCTGTGATGGCACCTGATTGAGTTTAATGGTTGAGAGAAAAGCTCTTCTTGGATGTTTCAGAATAAAAAGGCATTTCAGTAAAAGTTCTCTCATTTCTGTGTGTTTCTGCTAACATGTAACATGTCTGCAAAGGGATGCATAGGCATAGAAAACAGAAACGCCTTTTAATACTACATGTAATGACAACGAGGTGCCCTGCCAGCCTGTACTCTGCTGTCATACAACAAATACACTGCACGCATCTCCCTTCCTCGCATATGGATTTTATATGTGGAAAGTGTAACAAGAAGCACCAATATGCTTTGCACAACAAAACCAAGACATTGGTGTATAAACAAAACCAAGACATTGGTGTATAAACTGACATACAAAGAAGACCACCAAACAGGTTCGACTTACTCCAGGTAAGCCCACTATTCACCTACAAGCAGTTTGTAACAACTTTTGACACTTCATTGGCTTATATTATTCCAGAAAAATAAGATTTTTCTGAATTTTTTTTCTCCTCTAGAGAAATGTGGGGGGAAGTCCCATTTTCTAACTGTATATAATCACTTGGTATTGATTAAAATAATGCCTTCATCTTAAATCAGCAGGACAAGTTTCCCTTGAAATTTGCTGTTTTAAGTAACACCTGAAATTTACTTAGGGCAAACAATTACACACACAATGGCATCCAACTGTCGTCTTCTCACTGCCTTTTACTTCACTGAAGAACAAATATTACCCTATTAAAAACCAACAACCAGAAAAAACCCACCCCAAACAAACCAACAAAAATGGGCCACAGAAAGTATTTCCTATGGTCCTCTAGCAAAAATTCCATTGCAGAATAATATTCATCAATAGTGCTATTAAATAAACAGCTGCAAAACACTCAACTTTTCTACTTCTCTTTCTCTGTTTCCAGGCTCCTCCCTGCAGCAAATAATTTAAACAGTTACATAAATCTTGAAAAATTCCTGGAGAATTTACAAAGCTATATAGCTTCATATGTCAGGCATCAACATCCATTAGAGTGCCCAAAGACACTTTTTGCCTGTCTTCACCCATCTCCAACTACACTTGAAGTTTCCTAAACTGCCAGCCTACAACGTTTCCTCTATTCCTTGAATGCTAGCTCTCACTCCATTAATCATCAATGCCTGCTCAGATTTCTGGAAAAGTATACAAAACGCATACTGTAATGCCATTAATTTCATTTTATGATTAAAGCTGTAGAGACAGCTGCAGAAAGGCAAGGGCAACAACAACATATCTGTCCAAAAATGCTTGAGCACCTGTTTTCAACAGTGGTCAACTCTCTAGTAAAGGGTTGATTTCTATCGAGTGTTGGGAAAATGCCAAATTATTCAGTTGTTAAACTGCAGACCAGCTAAAGCTCTGAATGGAATAGAATGGGACAGAATACACCCCTCTTGAGATGCTTCAAGTTCTTTTCAGAGGTAGACAGACAACACAGCTGCTTTACGCACTTAAATTTGAGGACTTTTTATTTTTTGTAATCACTATTACTATTTATACCTATCTTGATAATGCCTAATGACCTCAATTATGAGTCATTGTGCAACACACTATATCATATACAACATGAACAAGAACAGCACTTTTCAACTCCTGTAAATAGGGCTAAGACCTGAGCCTAAGTGTGGTTCTGCAGCAATTTTCAGAAATCAAGTAACTGCACCTGCAAAAAGTTTAATGAGCCTCAATTACAAACTCAATTAACTCCAATAAATAAAGGAAATAAGAACAGGTTTATAATGAAATAAAGTCTAAGCAAACTCTCATCTGCAATCATATACTGAGAGTTTTCACTATATAAGGAAAGGCCAAAAAGGCCAAAATCTAAAATAAAGCCCTTTGATAATACTCCATCACAACTCTAATAAAAAGTTCTACTGAATAAAACACTTTTTTGTAAATGCCAGGAGGTTTCTAAGGCAAAGTTGTGACAATCAGAAGCTTTTAGGGAGATTAGAAAAAGCACATACCAAACTCCCCTGACACTTCCCCCTTACAGCAAGGCAGATCACTTACCACAAATAAGGCTCCAGTGGCATTTTTTGCTGCTGTTCTGTGCAGGTATCGGACCTGTCTTACCTACAAACAAAATAGTGTTAATAGTTAATAATTCGCACACTGCTTTCAGAACCAGTCTGATTTCTACTCTAACTGTAAACCATTAATTCCACTTCCATCACTAATAATTTAAACTGAGTCTAGAAGAGACTATTAAGGGCTGCCCGGCGTTATTAGGAGAGCAAGTCTCTTGATTCCCCCCTTGGCTAATTGAAACAATGTAGAAATTAAAGGATTTAACTTCGCCACTGTTTAATTTAAATGCCTTAAACACAACTTCTCATCAAACATTTCATGAAGAATTTTCCAATTTGTTACTTTATATCACTTTAAAATTTGCAAAAACCATCATTACTACTGAGGTTCTTCTCCAGTAACCATTTACATGCTTCTTCAGCCTTTATTGAACCGAGCACTGGGATCAGGCATAAGAGGATAAATGCAAACACAAACTTGAAATGTCAACAGAACATAGACTCATACACAAGTTCTGTTCAGCTATTCTCTGTACTCACTGTCATTAAAGTTTCTAGATTCTGGCTCGTATTTCTAAGGTAATTCGATAATAGTATCTTGTCATAAGTAATCATTCTATAACAAATTCAGTTTTATATTAAGTCATATTTATACTGAATTCTAGAGCAATGCTGAGATGTGTTAAAGCAGAACCATAAAATCACGGAATGGTTTGGGCTGGAAGGGATCTTAATGATGATCCAGTTCCCACCCCTCTGCCGTGGGCAAGGATACCTCTCACTAGACCAGGCTGATCAGAGCCCCATCCAACAGGGCCTTGAGCACTTCCAGGAATGGAAGAGGTCACATGACAGGGAAAGACCGCAGCCATCCTGTGAAACTACGCTGCAGGTACATGATCCGCTGCTAAGAAGACTGAGCTGATCAGCTGCTCTTTCAGAAGAATCCGTGGTACTTCGGCTTGGATTTCAGGCACCGACTTACCCCGCCAAGCCCCCACTCCCAACCCCTCGCCGCGGCCGGCCGGCCTCCCTCCCTCCCTCCCTCCTCTCCCTCGGCCTCCCCCACCTCTGCGGGCAGGGCCCCCTTTACCGAGCGTGCAGCCGCGGCGCGCAGGGGAGCGCACAGGAACATGGCGGCGGCGACCCCCGCTCCTTCTCCTTGTCCCGATCTCTCTCCTTGCAGGCCCGCAGCTCACCCTCCCGCAGCGCCAAGGAGACCCGCACCGCGCATGCGCCGGCGCGCCGCGGCACGGCGCCTGCCCGCTCCGGGCGGAGAGGCTGTCCCGAATGTCCCTGCCCTCTGCTGCCCGCGGGGGGCCCGGCCTGCCTTTTCCGCCTGTTTATGCCCAGCTGTTGATTGGGGTGTAACAGGATGTTTAATGGTCGAACTGCCGGCACCTGTGTTTTGTCCTCCTTCGATCAGGCAAAACGGGAATAAACATTTGATTGTGGGTTTTGGCCTCAGATAAACATTCAGGGAATGGCTCAGGGGTGACCTTACTGCTCTCTACAACTTCCTGAAAGGTTGTAGGCGGGTGGGGCTCGGTCTCTTTTACCAGGCAGCAAGCAACAGGATGAGAGAACAGAGCCTCAAACTGTGACGGGGGAGGTTTAGGTTGCACATTAGGAGGAATTTCTTCACGGAAAGGGTGATTAGGCATTGCAACAAGCTGTCCGGGGGGGGTGATGGAGTCACTGTCCCTGGAGGTGTTTAAGGAAAGACTAGATGTGGCACTTAGTGCCATGGTCTAGTTGACAGAGTGGTGTTTGGTCACAGGTTGGACTCGATGATCAGAGGTCTTTTCCAGCACAGTGGGATTCTCATGTGTGTAATTCAAGTAATGCTGGAACTGGAGCAAATGTAAGTAACAGGCTCTTCCTTGGATGCAATATGTTAGGAACATCATTTGCAGGTCCATCCTTGTTCAGACCCCTTACTGTTCAGGTTTTGTGATGAGTGCAAATGTACCCTTTTCACTGCAAAATAAATTCACATTTTTCAAATAACAGCTAAGGAGGAAGTATTTTATATCAATGAGTACTCAGCATTGCAGATTGGCAAATCATCACCTGATGTTCCAACATCTCTTACCATATTCTACTTCTCTCCCAGGAGGAATCTCCCCTGCACTCCCCATCCTCTCATCTACCCTGGCTCTCAGGGGTGCAGCCTTATTAATTTCATGCAGTGTACAGTGAAAATCTATCCATGTTTATTTTACTTCTACAAAAACTGATGATTTGCTAGCTGACACTATGAGTACATGGTAGAACAAAACTTCATCTTTCCTTACAATGTTTTCCTTCACCCACAATGTTAACTTATTTTTTCATCTGCTTACTTGTTTCGAAAGACCCTTTTTTTCCTTTGTATAAACATTCAAGAAGGCAGGATTAACTAAACTAGCGTAAACGGAATTTTATGTAAAAGATTTCATCATTACATGATGGATTTGTACTGATAAAATGTTCTATCAGGGCACTCGTTGGGACAAAAGGCCAGGTTGGGCAGAGCCACAGTGCCCATGCCTATGTAGTTACACCTGGAAGGCTCCTGTAAAGAAACCCGTACATATGGTGAGACAAGTGCCATGGTGCATCACAACAGATAGCTCTAGACAAAGCCCAAAACAATAAGCAGTGCACATATAAGAATGTTTTAGGATACTTATTACTCTTTCAGATAATTGCATATATACATACAGGTGTGTGTATATATGTGCATGTATTATTTGGCAGTTGTTACTGTGATTAATGTCCTTTTAACAGAATACTTTTCATTTGCACAGGTCAGGCAGGATGTGGTACTAGCTCTGCTTAGATTACTGCCCTCTACATTTGAGTTCACTGTAATCAGTGGTTGTCTTCCTGTTCCTTATTCTTCATTTCCTCAATGCTGAGAGACACTATCAGCATTCGTAAATGTAAGTGCTGCTACCGGTATCTGATATTTTCATTGATTTGTTTTGACTAAGTGTTTACCTGGTTATAAACCTAATTTCTCTACTTGTGTGCTTCCTTGAGATGAGTTCTTAAAACACTGTACAGGCTGCCCAAAGCAGAGCAAGTATAATGGTGCAGCAACGTTCAAGCACAGATTACAGATTCCGTTGCTAAACTAAATTTTTGTATCCTGATGAGAACCTGCCCTAGGCATACAGTCTAAGAATAGCAGAGGCCATGTATGATTAGATTCAGGGACTGTTCCTGCGCAGATAAATTAATAAACATTCATTTTTATACTATGAAATAGATAATCACAGTAATTTATTAATTGTATGTTAACCCAGTATGTGTTTTCAGTTGCACTTCATAGATGTGTTACTAGACAAGCAAAAAAAACCCATTTGGAATCATTTTGTAATTTAAAATCAGTCTATTTTGTAATTTAAAATCAGATGACAATACTAAAAAAAGGCAGTGTGGCCTTGTATGGTAGTTCAGTATCTGCAGTGTTCTGAAGGGTGGCCCATTACTTTTTTGCATTCTGCATACTATATGCACTGAAGTGCTAAAGTCCTGCACCCAAATGATTTCAGACAATTCCTTTTCCATTGTGACCCATCGATAAGGGAAGCTGCATTAAGGAGAACAAGACTCCCTGTGTTTACTCTTTTGATAAGGATTTGAAAATGCAGCAGATTATGTACTTGTACCAATGTCTCCAGTGGGGCAGGTGTGCAAGGACAGGTGAGAAATGGCCAGACCACCTATTTCTGTAACCTTGCACCCTGTCCCAGGAGCCTTACAAGCTCTAATTCTGTGGACTAGAAAGAGAGAGAGAGATAAATCTGTTATTTTCTGCAAATGTAGTCTAGGCAATTATTCTTGCAATCAAATAATTATTTCCTGTATTGTTGGATTTCTTTATTAGTATGCACTGTGCCAAATAATTGCTTTCAGGCTTTTGATTTAAATGGAAATAATACTAGGGATATTTAATGACTGTTACATTACTCTTCATCTTGAAATACAAAAATAAACAAAGCTTTCATTAGTCTTCAATCCATTATTCATGTACAGACATTCACTGTATGTTTTCTGACATTGAAAAGTGGTAACTCCAGCCATAGCACTACAAGTAATGCTAACTAGTCACACTTGAAAACATTCAATTTTAGTTATTTTATGATCGTAGAGTCATATGGTCTGGGTTGGAAGGGACCTTAAAGATCATCCAATTCCAACCCCCCTGCAATGAGCAGGGACTCCTTTCGCTAGACCAGGTTGCTCAGAGCCCCATCCAACCTGGCTTTAAACACTTCCAGGGCTGGGGCATCCACAAATACATGCTCTAACATAAAGTAATAAAATAGTAAGTAATTTGCAGTGTAGAGACTGTGAATGTTGGCAAGCCGTTTGAAGATATTCTTTTGAAAACAGGTCATTTGGAGAGAACATAAATACTACTAAATGGTATCATAGGCTTCTTATCCCATTAAAACACCTTCAATCAGCTCTGTTGTCAGTGATGTAAAAGAGAAAAATAAAAGGCTGTAAAGCTCTTTCTCAAACCTCAGTGTTATACATAAGTATATTTGAATTTAAATAGTACAGTCACCTATTTTAGGAAGTGTGAAAACACGGGACAAACACAAGGGATCATATTAAGACATAAACATTGGAAAACAAAATATTCTCAGTTGTAATCTTTACATTGCAACACCGTACAAAAAACTGGCTTGTATACCCAGGAGTGTTTCAGATGAAAAAGTGTTGTTATGCTTGTGATAGATTAGATTTAACTATTAAAAAAATTATATGTGCTAAGAGCAGAATTAGTGTAAAGTATGATCTGAGACCCATTTCTGTAGGCGAAACAGAGACAAAGCAGGCAATGAAGTGCCTGCTTGTTTAACACACTCACACGAGAACTGTAAATATTAGAATGGATATTTACTGCCATCACAGAAAGAACTTCCTCTACAAAAGATGACTGTATGGGTAGTGTAGATGTTGTACATGGGACCACTTCTGCAGAACATTTTTCTTCAGAGAAATAACCGCAGGAAGACAGTGACTGAAAAGAAAATGAGAAGGCACATGGAACATGGAAAATAACCCAATAACCCACAATTACTTATCCACAGCGCTGAATAACAGTTAAGAACCAAACTGGAAGTGAACACCAGGGAATACTGCTGTAGGGGAGGCTGTCTGGAATGATAATAATCCTTACTATAGCACAGAAAACTGAAAGGTGTAGTAGGTGCTAGAGTATCTGAAAAGCCAGTTATAAAGAAGGATCACGACACTGCTACACGTAACTGGCCATATCCTCTGTGGTGGTAGAAACTGGTGTAGCTCCACTGAAGGAGAGAGAACCAAACTGATGCTCCTCATCTGAGGACCAGGCCCAATGATTTGTGAGATAGGAGCTTTCACAGTCCATTTTATAGAATGAATATATTTCAGTTCTTTTGTTGATGATCACTTTTCTTCCATGGCTTGAGTACTAGAGGTGAAAAATTTGCATTTCTGTTCTACAGTTTGCTTGAAGCAAATGGCAGCAGGTACCAGCAGATGGTGGAAAATGACAATGAACATGGGCTCAAGCCATATTGTGTATTTAATGCAGATAAAATGCTTATAACCTTGGTATCCTTTGTACAGTAAAGTGATTATATATATTGTATATAGATCACATAATATATAAGAGAGTAAGTAAGAGGATGTTTTGCATTAGTTGAGGAGATATCAACTCACTAAAACACTGATGCATGGTTTAGTCAATTATTTTGTTATACAACACGATGTGTGATATATATTTAAATAAAAAAAATAATCTTGCTTAAATTCAAAGATGACTTGCTGGCATTCCTTTGTGAGATAGTCTGTTCTGTATACTACAGACTAGTAACACATGATAAGTTTTTTCTTTACCATGTATCTCTTACATATATCGATCTTTATTCAGCAAGCCTACACTTTGCTTATGTTCCTAGATTTTGCTGTAGTGTTACTGAGGTCTAATGATCAAACCTATACCATAATATGAAACATTCTTTCGCTGATAGAATAAGGGATGATGAAAAACATCCTAATGGTGTTTACTATTTGCCTAATTTTACAAATTTACAATTTGCCTTGATTAGATTTGCACTTTGTACAAATACAGTTGTTTCAATGTGCTGTAGCAGTTTGCATTTCATTTTTATGTGGAAGGACATTTTATATTATGTATGAAAGTGCAAATGCACTTAAAGTTTAGAAAGAATCCTAATTTAAGCTGCCCT